GTGTGTGTGTCTTTACATATGAATTAGAGACATCCAGTGTGTTTGTGTGTGTGTGTGTGAGTGTGTGTGTGTGTGTGTGTGTGTCTGTGTGTGTGAGATAGTGTGTGTGTGTGTGTGTGTGTGTGTGTGTGTGTGTGTGTGTGTGTGTGTGTGTGTGTGTGTGTGTGTGTGTGTGTGTGTGTGTGTGTGTGTGTGTGTGTGTGTGGAGAGATGGAGTAGGTGGGGTGTAATCTGTAATGTAATAGCTTTGTCCTTGAATAAGTGAGTTTATGAGATATAGCAGTATTTTGTATCCGTGCATGTAGTTCACGATGTATGCGCATTAACGCCTGTGAGATGAGGCTTGATGCAGCGGAGGATATGAGCGGCTTCTTCTGTGTCTGTCAAAAAGCCCCTTTGTCAAAAGTGTGCGTACAGAAGGCCTACTGTAACATGCCGTCTCTCTGCCCTACAGCAGTCTCCTGTTTCCTAAACCCTGACCTTTGCAAAAGAGGAAATATGTTTTGACTTTTTTTGGTGTTGTGTTGATGGGTTTAATATAAAGCTAATGTCTAAACCTTACTCTGCCATTTACATTAAATAAAAGGAAAATATTTCACTTTTACTTGCTCCAAGGGAATCAATTTGGATGTGATATTTAGTTTTGATTGTCCATTAGATTATTTCCTTTTCCGCTTCTTTTTCTATCCCACTCTCCATTCCCTGTTATTTACTGTGATTCTCTCTGTCCCTCTCTTTCTCTTTTTTTCTCTCTCTATTAAATTAAAATGTCTTTATATGTATGACCATGTTGTCATACAGTATTGCAGAAATCATTGTAATGTAAATATTGAGACTTTCAAAAGACTAGTATTCATATACCCGTAATTTTCGGACTATAAGGCGCACCTGAATATAAACCGCAGCAGCTAAATTGAATGATGTGTACATATATAAACCGCACTGGACTATAAGCCGCAGGTGTTTTAATGTTTAATTACCATATGTAAGGGTTCGTGCACAGAACGGGATTGTCGGGAAAGAGATGGCTGTTTGAGGAAGCTCCCATTTATTAACATTTCAACAAACAAGTTGCATATTTGCATAACGTATTCAAGTGTTACCATTTAGTGCAATAGTAGCTACAGAACATGTACTGTGCTGTGTAAACTGTACTGTATCACATAGTGTTTCAGACACACAAACTTTTCAACTTTCAAACTTAAACGGTGCGCTCCCAGCGCACGTACCGGCAGTGATCTACAGCAGTGGTTTTCAACCAGTGGTACGGGGACAAACTGTCTCGCTCTCGTAATGTCTGTCTGTCTTGCTCTCGTTCTGTCTCTCGTACCACTCTCGGTTCCACTTTTACTTTTGCGCGCTACCTGTCTCACTCTTTTCCGGCCTCCAGCTTTTCCTGCTGGAAGGTGGGGGGCGCGGACCGGNGTGTGCCTTGGCAGGAATGAAGGCCAGCCATCAAAGTTCTGGAAAATTTTCAAATGTCACACTCTAGCAGAAATTCCACTTAAGGCACTTTTGTGTGACTCTGAAAAAATGCTGCCGCTGGAATTTGAAAATCTGTTGATAACACTCTTTGCTACACAATGTTGTTTTTCCTGCTAAGAAAATGATAATTAACGGCTTAAAATGACTCTGTGTCCATTTTAAGAAGTTACACTGTGACAGAACCAAGTTTTCTGCAGAGCCAGCTAATGTCTCTTGTTGTCTGAAAGACTTGATGGAGTTTTCCTCTGCCCTACACCCTCCAGTTAAAGTCTTGATCTGTTTTTATTTCTTCTTTTTTTTTCCACTCTGTGCCTTCACTTTCTTTAATGCCTCAGAATGAGATGAAAGCCCAGTGCAATTAGGCTTCTTATCGTTTTAATTAAGAAAGCCATTCGGCCATATCTGCCTCCGACGCCATAACACATAATGGCAGAGAGTCTCTGACGCCTGAACTAGTGTGTGTGTGCTTGCGTGCGTGCGTGTGTGTGTGTGTATGTACGGTGTGTGCATGTTCAGTACGTATGTGTGTGTGTGTGTGTGTGTGTACCAGCTCGTGTGTTTGTGTGCGTCCTAGTAACACAGTTCCCAACAATCTCTCTCGCCCTTCTTTCCTCTTTTATCAGTCTGTGTTCTCCAATCACTATTCCCACTCATGCCTCTCTCCAAACATGCTGTTCTTTCCCTCGTTATCTCCCCCCCCCCCACCTCAAAGAGACAAGGTCAAAGAATCCTGTATAAGTACTTCAAACTTAATTCAAGTTGATGTCTGAGTGTTTCTCTTCAACTCTTTAATCAAACATTTCCTCTTTAATGTCGCTTCTTTCCTCCACGCTTAAACATTTGCAGCCAAATGGACAACTTTTATGGTGTTTTTATTAGTTTCAGCTCATGGATACACACACTAACAGCGTATCAATGTGCATGTAAACTGCTCTTTTCCCCATATCTATTTGCATAAGATGAGAAAGCTACATGGCTGTAACCAAATTATTCCTAATTTATTTTCCTTTTTTCCCTTCATCCAAAGGAGGATGAAAAAAGGGAAAACTAACTACCCCCCTCCCCCACATCTCTCTGCTCCCCCTCCTCCCTCCTCCCCTGTTACCCTGGCCTATCAGTGCGGAGCAGTGGTCTGTGAAGAAATTCCCAATATCTAAATTTACACACTGTATCAATCTTGTTTAATAGACTGGAAAGCTTATAGCCGCCGTGGCAAGCCGGCAGAGAGGGCAGCGGTGATAAATTGTCGGTGTGCAGGCGACAGCCGCCCGTGATGTATAATGAAATATTTATGATTTATCCCAGCTAATAAACTGAAATGAAGTGCGTGATGTATGGGAACAGATGGGCCCTCTATTGATGCTGAAGCGGAGAGGCAAGAGGGGAAGAAGAGACGGGGAAGATGCGTGGAGAGGAAGAAACAGGAGATGTGGTGAGAGATGATCCAGAGGGACTGAGAAAAATTGAGGGCAAGGATGGAACCCCCCCAAAAAAACCTTAGTTTGTATGTGTTTGGCTGACACTGAAGAAGTGGACTAAGATGTATAGAGGAATACAGGGTTAGAGTAGAGAACAAATGAGATTAAATGATGAAGTAGAGGACAGATTGTAGATGGCAGTAAAAACAGACCACCATCAAAATATAACCCTTCTCCTCAAATGCTTCATCGTGTTGATTCTATGTGAGGCAGGGCCAGTCCTTTTAGTTATTGGTTCCATGTTTCAGCTGTAGACAAACAAGCAAAGATTCAATAGCGGGTACCTTGGGAATTAAACACTGATGGAATTAATCCAAAGTCTCCCAGTTCAACGCCATCAAAGGAATAGTAATACACTTATTCCCTTTCCTACCTATAGTTAGAGAATATGAATATGCTTCATATCTAAATCTCATCCTGCATAATGGTCTGAATACTTATCCAAATGGCAGTTATTACATTTGTATAATACATTTCTGGTAAAGGTTATTATTTAGATTATTTGTTTGGCTTAAAAAACTGTCTGAAGATGGTCTACACATACAAAATATGGTCTATAATTAAATAAAATGTGCAGGTTTTAGTTCACCTGCAGTAGCTATCCTTTACCTTTGTTGACCTCTCAGTCCACCATCTTTTTCCAACCCTTCAATAAAACTATAGTGTCCGCTTAACCTCATCACAGTGTCTCGCAGACACACTAACACCCATTCCCCCCTCGGCCCCAGCTGTAGACGCACCCCCGGTAATAATCCAAAAGGACACCTTCCTGTTCCTGCTTTTCCTCTCTCCGCTCCTTCCCTGCTCTGTCCATTTTTCTCCCCCTCCGTCTCTCTCCACTCATCCATACTGACCCATTTCCTCCGCTCGTCATCCCCAGGCCCAGCTGAGCCCCTCTGTACTCATCCTCCTCCACACCTGTCCCCCAGACACCGTGTGTGTGTGTGTGTGTGTGTGTGTGTGTGTGTGTGTGTGTGTGTGTGTGTGTGTGTGTGTGTGTGTGTGTGTGTGTGTGTGTGTGTGTGTGAAACACTCATCCATCCACTGCACTCTGACTTCCCCATGCTCACACACACACACACACACCTTGTTTTTAACCAAGTTTACCCTACATAGCTTGTATCTAGTCCTAAAGGTGATATGAAAGTTACTTCTGTACGCCATTTTGTTGTTTTTAATGATTTTCACTCAGATTGTTCCCCATAAACCCAAAAGGTTTTCGCAAAACTATTTATTGCAAACATAGTTAATTAGGTTGTCTAGGCAAGCAAGGCTCAAAATAATTTAATTCTGAAAATGCTAAATAGCTGCTGCTACAATCAATGCTAATAAAAAGCAGTAAGTAGTCAAATAAAGTATTGTTTCTAACTAAATGTAAGCATGTTAGTGATAACAAATACGTGGTTTAACCCCTTATCATCCTGAGCTCACTATTTATTTTCCGTTCTTGATTATTTGTTCTACATTTCTTGTATTCATGCATCTTTTAGGAGACACAGCGGTCTATAGAGATGGTGTGTATTGGATAATGGGCCGCACCAGTGTTGACATCATCAAGAGCGGCGGCTACAAGATCAGTGCCCTCGAGGTGGAGCGGCACCTACTGGCTCATCCAGGCATCCTCGGTAAGCTGCACAGGTTCAGTTAGGAAGTAGAAGGGATGTGACAAGTGTCAGGAATTCAAGTTGTATAAATCAACAACAACAAGATGTTTTGCCTTTTTAAAACAGTATGTAATCCCCCTAAATGTGTACCAAGCAGTATGATGACAATGATCTTAAACATTCATACAAAATGACTGAAAACATTTTCTTAACTGTCCACTTGTAACCACCTTATAGTTTAGGATAAGAGTCAGATATTTGAATCTGAGGTATTGTTCTGCTATAAAACCAACGTGCTGAAGTATAGAGCGAACAACAGGAGAAATGTAGACGTGTCCTAATACAGGTTAAATGAAATTGAGCAGTTGAAATTTTAAAATGACATGTCTGCCTTTTGTGATTTTTAACCTTGCAGATGTGGCTGTGATCGGAGCACCAGATGCTACCTGGGGTCAGAGAGTCACCGCAGTGGTGCAGCTGAGGAAAGGGCAGAGTATGACCCTGGAAAAGCTGAAGACCTGGGCAAGGTGCTGTGACTTTCAGACGGATAATCTCATGTGTGATTATGTGTATGCTTGCTTTTCAAATCTATTCTATATGACACTGTTTAAACCAGATCATAAACGGACTGTTATAAGTCATTTTCCTCCGTGGAAGGTAGGCTAGTGGGTTGGTATAGGCCCCATTTCCAAGTCCATTTTGCTCACACAAACTATAGGAAAGATGCCTGTAAACACACGGGTATAAACCTGCAAAGTTAGTCCTGAGATTTATTTCAGATAAACAGGAGCAGAGCATGAATAAATACAGCTGCGTTATTCATTTGCGGAAAAAATAAATGCAGGGTCGCCCATAAAAAGTTAAACCTGGCTTAACTTTTGCAGCAACGTAAGAGAAGATTTCATAATTACTTTGGACATTTTTTGTATTATAAACTTACATTACATTACATTACATGTCATTTGTTAGACGCTTTTATCCAAAGCAACTTACATACATTCAGTACTGTGGACAATCCCCACAGGAGCAATTTGAGGTGAAGTGTCTTGCCCAGGGACACAACGACAATGACAGGCTGCAGTGGGACTCGAACTGGCTACCCCCCGATTCCAAGTCCAGCACACTATTCACTGAGACACAGCCTCCCCAACCTCTTACAACCAATCAACAATCCTGAATTCCCTAAAAACAAAAGAGCATCATATTATTACAGTGCTGGCCCTGTCTTGGTTCAATATTATTACGCTGATTTAAGAAGACAATTTCCACAGCTCTTTGTCAGTCGTGTGGTAAACAAATGAAGGCTTCTAATGCAGACTCTGCAGTTCAGCACACATCCCCAGTGAGCGGCCCTGAAGTCCGCAGATCAATAGGGAGGGATGTGAGAGAAAGAGAGGCCAGATATGGACTAATGAGGGGAGCTGAAGGAAAGACAGGAGATGAAAAAGAGGAAGATGTAGAGGAAGCAAACAAATGATTGTTTACGGAGGCCGTCGGGTTTTTTCTTCTGCCCTTTCTAAATGTCAGTAGAGTTTATTTTGTCTAACGCAGACAGTTGGTGGGGACATGCAGCTCTCGGTTTGGGGACTGAAGGCACAAAGACACCTCTTCTTTTTGTATTCTCCAGTTTTACTCGCCTCTTATTTGACCACTTTTCCCTTCACTTTCCCACCATCTGTTTTTGTCTCCTACTCTTTTTACTACCCACCACTATCATTTATTCACACCTCTGAATTCTGTATGAATTCATTTTGTGTGTGCGTGCATGCATTTGTGTGTGTGGGTGTGTGTATCTCTGCGTGTGTGACGGCTGTTGGCCCCATATGGTGTGGGGGTTTCAGCTCCTACTGCTGTGGCCTGCTGGTCCAGCATGGTGGATTACTACTGCTGCTTGTGACCCAGGTTAACACACACACACACACACACACACAGTGTTTGCAGCCAGGGGTGCTGCCAGCAGACAGGCAGTGCCAGCACACAGCCCACTGCTGGGCCAGGGTCTCGAGGAGAGAGGGAGAGGGAGATAAAATGAGACATAAACAAGGAGATGGATGCTCACTCTTCAGTGCCCTGGCTTCAGCTGTCAGTCTGAATCTATATCACACCCTCACACTGCCTTGAACACACACACATACACAAACACATACACACACACACACACACACACACACACACACACACACACACACACACACACACACACACACACACACACACTGCCCCAGAGAAATTGGTGACACGAGCCCCATTACAGAGATGTGTATGTATGCACATATACTCACTCACACTTTACTCACTGAGTCACAGAGACGGAGACATCTGCTGAAAGGAGTGTTTGATGGCAGCAGTATGAGTCATTATGCTCACTCGCACCATAAGCATACACACGCAAACACACGCACACACTTTGGCACAAACAAACAAACTAGGTTAGAAGATAATCGAAAAGCTCCAGGCTTCAAGACTTGACGTAACAGCCATGCATTCAAACCCGAAAAAATAAAACACTTTTAATTATCCCAGCCTTCTGTTTTTCCTTTTATTATTTTTTTTATTTATTTCATCTCACAGTGATTATATTGTTCTGTACGAATGGAATTGTCTGTGTCTGGAAGGCGAATTGGGGATATTAGGGAGGAGGGCTGCGGAGTGTATGAAGGACATTTATTTTCTTATCTCAACTACTCTGCCAAAGGGCTAGCCTTTGTTTTGCAATTGTTTTCCAGTTCTTTCTGTTGTTGTGAGCTCCTGCATATTCCCATCCATGTGCACATACATCAGAGTTGTGTGTTGTTGTGTATGCCTGCCTGTGTTTATCTCGCTTTCTGAAGTGCAGTCTTCAGTGTTTTAACATCAGTGTTTATTGCAGGAAGCACATGGTGCCCTACACCATCCCCACAGGCCTGCTGCTGGTGGACGAGTTGCCGAGGAATCAGATGGGCAAGGTCAACAAGAAGGACCTCCTAAGACACTTCTTCCCCTGACTGAACCTCAACCTGCAGGTTCCTGGTGAAGAACTGTAGATGTACGCCACATCCCGGCTGTCCCCATCTGCTCCTTAGATCAGACAAACATTACTGACAAGTGTACAGAGGAAATACTAAGTAATGAAAAACCCCTCATGGAAAATGACTTGACCTCTGAGGTAACTAAATCACAACTACGAACACTGCTACAAAGGTAATTCTATTATGTGGAAAGCCAATTATGTCAAGCTTTGTTCATCAGTTACTGTGCAAGATGGGTCTGATAGAATATTGTATTGAGTCAATGTGAAACTCCACAGAATGTGTGTCTGGTTGCAACTGCATTTATATAGAAAAGTCAAAGTTACCTACATAGTGAGCTAACCAACACCTATGTGACAGACATATAAACGACGTCAACGACTGTGACACACTTTTGTGGGATTCTTTATTGTAGTTGTGTCCCAGATCCGTTATGCAGTATGTTGCAGTGCTAATTTATTTTAAACTAATGGTAAAAAATGTTGGAAAATATAGATTTATAATAATACAAACCTGTTATAGGAGAACTACAGGGTCTACTGCTCAATATGCCTCACTGAGATCGGAAATTGCACATACCATGGAACTGGATATTGAACTGTTCCAATACAAATACAGCGTGCAGCAGTTCCTATTGGTGAAGAGTGTTTTAGGAACTTGAATTGGTGAGTCTGATGTTTTATTGGTGAAAATGTTTTGATCAGATCATTCGAAATGACTTTTGAGCGGTGCGATGTCTAGAATGAGGGATAATTACACTCGCACTAAACTAAATATAGACAATGATGGTAGAAAAGAAGACAACTTTGAATTATGATCATCGATATGAATCACCTCATGATGTACACACACCGGTTCACTTGAAAAAACAAATGAATTAAAGAGTTTTATTAAACAGTACAAAAGTTGTTTGGTGTTATTGTTGTTAGCCACTTCTTTGTAAACCGCAGTGTATTCACACTATCTATCTGTGTGTGTGTGTGTGTGTGTGTGTGTGTGTGTGTGTGTGTGTGTGTGTGTGTGTGTGTGTGTGTGTGTGTGTGTGTGTGTGTGTGTGTGTGTGTGTGTGTGTGTGTGTGTGTGTGTGTGTGTGTGTGTGTGTGTGTGTGTGTGTGTGTGTGTGTGTGTTTGTGTCTGCAGCTGTGGCTACACAGGTGTGATGAGAGCCTGAAGGCGGATTCTCTAGCAAGGCACAACACCACAGCTGGATGCCCCGCACTCCATCTGACTAACCCACTCGCTCCACTCCCTCTTCTCACCTCTCATCCTTTTTCTATCTCCGTTTCTCCATTACTTCACCTCCTCTGTCTCCATCACAAGTCATAACAGATTGCAGTGGCACCGGGACCAACTTGACTGTGAGGACTTCTTCTGAATGAGCCCTGGCGTGCTGCCAGAATACACACAGAGTGCGTAAGGAGATGAGAGAAAAGGCAGAGAGAGGAGCAGAAATATAAAGCAGCACTGTCAGTGAGATGGAGCCTTAACAAGAGCTAGCTCATGACAGTTGATAGAAAATGACAGAAAAGAAGATTTAGAAGAAATTCAGCGTCTGGTTTTTTAACAAGTGATATGCAAAGGACTTTGAAATGAAGAAGAAAAGCCTTGAAATAGGGTTGAGATAAACAGTCGTGATGAACAGCTAGAGAGTTGAAGATGGAAAGAAACAAAATGCAACCCTCCTGTCCACACACACACACACACACACACACACACACACACACACACACACACACACACACACACACACACACAAACACACTTGTCCGCCCACAGTCACCAGAGACCTGATTAAGAGAGCAGAGCTATCGATCTGTGGGCTGGCAGGCTAGGATGGATGAGCAGGCAGGGCTACAGGAGCACCAGAGGACAGCTTCAGTGCCCCCAAACCCCCCCGCCACTCCACCCAACCACCCACACAATGCTGGGAGTCGGCCAGGTCGACAGGCAGGAAGGCAGGGGCTGCAGCGACAGCATCAGAGGGGCAAAATCAAGAGCATAGAGCTGGTGTGCAGTAATAGGTGAGTGTGTTTAGGGGGGCACTCAGGACGGGTTGCAGTGCCTCCCTGATGTACAAAAGGGGGAGGTGGGGCTGGTGGATATTCCCTAGTCTGAGCTAGATGGAGTACTCCTGCCCTTGAACCACATCCACCTCCCTCTCACAAACACACATTCACACACTCACTGCTTATGTTTGCTGGAGCATGGTGGAAGAGGTTGACTGCAGATGGCTGCTTATTGGGCCCCTGGGTCTCTGAGGGTGGGTTATTGGGGACACCAGTGAGGTTGTTTTTGTGTCAGAGACACGTGGAGAGTTTAGGTAGAAAGGTTTGAAAGAAGCAGGTGGAGTGATAAAGACATGGAGGCAGAGTAAAGTTGGTTTGGTGTGCCTTTGCTCTGTCACAGTAGGCCCAGCTGCACAATAATATGTATTTACTTTTTGTGATTTGTTTATCGTTCTGTTCAGACAATGGACACATTAGGTTATAACAGGTGCCAGCTGGCAACACAAGCTAACAAAGGATTGAATCGGTATTACATTTCAAAGTGAGATTTTGTATGACATTGAGCACACTGATTGAAAGCCAGTCCATTCAATGATTGATTCATTTTCTCTACCCGCTTTTCAGAATAGTATCCCAGCCTAGGCTGCAGACAGAAAAGCTTGATCGTTTGCTACTTCTTCACAGGGAGAGACCTATGGGCAGGCAATTAAGTTGTTATAAACAGCACAAAGAAAACAAGGGCACAGGAATGAACTTTGTATATCTATTAACATTTGCCAGACAAAATTGCTTCAGGATATAAAAAAGAAATCTCTGCGCAGTGCGCACCTGACTGTGGCAGGTGCGTCGGAGGAAAGTGCAATCTTGAAACCAACAAGAAGAACTCCCACTTTCTGTCTCTTGCCCATACACCTGATGAAGGTTGGACAGCCCGAATTGTTATAATCAAATAAACCTTTCAGCAGCACTCGAGACAGTGTGAAGGAGTTCTTTTTTTTTTAAAAGTGCTTCAGAGTAAAAGCAATTAGAGGAACAGAACTTCAGCTGATCTCCAGGGATTTAACCTCCAGTGTGCGTCAGTATACCGCGGTGTCCCTGTGGACGGTGGCTGTGATTACAGATGCAACAGAAGCCTTCTGACCACACCCAGCAGTGATGCTGTTGAAATAGTATGAGATTTTAGGGAATAGTTTATTTTCACGTCTCAGCAAATAAGCATTGTAAGGAGCTCTCATCCTAATTATTAAAACAGCAACATTGATTGCGTAATAGCAAGGAAGTATAAGTAAGACTTGATATGTCTAAAATAGGTTGTTTTAATTTAGCCAAATTAATAAGATCATCTAATAAGTAAATAAGTAAGACCTGGAATAATCCATTAAACTTTGGGAAATCAACCAAGCGTTTGAGGTTACTATATGGTCACAACAATTAGGAAATGTTCTAACATGTACTATTTAAACTCCACAATACAGCTAATGCAGAGAGGTCAACAGTGTAGTCATTTGCGCCCTGCACTCTGAAAGGATTTGAATTTGAACTGAAGCTCGTCCTCTGTCACTGTGACTCCACAGAGGTGTCAGCCTGCCGTCGTTCTGCTGTGAACATGAAAGCTGTCCATCATGAAAGATTCTGCAGGAGAAAAGAAGTTCCTCCCTCCTCTGTCCGAACACTGGCTGCATAATAAACAGGTCAGACTGAAATAATGAGCCAAAGAAACACAGTGGGCTCTGTGGCGGGTTACTAATACACTGCTGCTCTGTTTTCTGTACTTTGCCGTCACAAACAGGAAATCAGGCTGCAATTATACAGTCAAACATTCACAAGTGCACACTTCTGACAATCACAATAGGCTCGGGGCCTGTAGCTACTTGATCAACATGACAGGCTTTATGGATGTAAGTGGGTAGAGAGAGGAGTGATGGGAGGATGACAGGCAAGGCTCTTCAGCCCCAGGGACACCCTGAGTATACAGTACACACACATACAAACACACATCAGTGAATGCAGAACCCCAGCAGGTCTGTGTGGGTGCGTAACCGATGCTTGTAGTGGCAGGTTGTTGTTTACATGGAGCTCATGTTTATTCTAAAGCTGCTTACACCTCACTGGCTCTGCCTCGGGCTTCGTTCCTGTGAAACTCCCGCTGACTCGCTCTCTGCTTTCTCTTTGCCTTTTTCTCTGTTGACCTTTTTAACTTTTCCTCCCTCTCTTACTCTTTTTTGCTTTTATTCTTCTGTCTGTCCCTCGTTACCATCTGTTAATTATGTTTGTCTTGTTTTCTATGATGATCCACATCGTGTTTTCTAACTGAAGGCGATGAGGAATATACTGCACAATTAATCAACACCACTTCTTTGTCCAGTCGTGGAAAATAGTTTATTTTTCAATCACAAATGTAAGGTACTTCACTTGAGTAGTTTCATTGTTTGCTGCATTATACCTCTACATTACTACAATTCAGGGGCAGCTTTTGTACTTTTTACTCCACCACAGGAGTTTCAGCAGGTGATAGCTACTTCTAAAGACTTACATTTTCAAGATATGACCTCTTTATTACCTACAGCATGATGCGATGCTATGGGATTAAACTACCCAACAGTTTATAAAAGTAGTTAACTCCACCAAAAATAATTAGCTCCATCTTCAACATCTTCAACTTACATAACTATGTAATAATACTTTAGAAAACAGATCCAAATATATAATAATATAACATTTAAAGAGACACTATTATGCATAATGACTTTGGCTGAAGTGCAATAAGAAACTGAGCATTTTTTATATTGGGGTATTGATACTTTAAAGGGGACCCATCATGCAAAATGCACTTTTGTACGTCTTTATACATGAATATGTGTCCCCGTTGTGTCAGGAAACACAACCCTCTCTCTTTTCCTCCATACCCAAATCTCTAAAAACGGGGCTGCAACGGATCTGATACAGACTGATTGGAAATATCTCTGACGTCAGGAACGAGGAGCTCCGCCTATGGGCAACTCTCCACCTATCAGGGGAATGAGAGGTTGCCGTGGCATGGTAACAGCATGGTAACAGCATGGTAACATGACGCTCGTGCCTCGCCCCCCTTTGCAGGGGGGCGTGGTCAGCTGCAGCTCATTTGTCACAGAATCAGCCCTTGCAAAAACAGGACTGGAATAGAGCAAATAGAGCTAAATGACGCATGGCTAAAATGCATGATCTGTTTGGTATTTTGAAAAAAAAACTTCACAGACATGTTTTATATAGGTATGGCCCTACAATATATTATTCAAATAACATGATAGGTCCACTTTAACTTAAATAATGATATTACTTCTTCCCCCACTGTATGTCTCTTTGCACTTGAACACAAGTACAAAAAACAACTTAAAAACACTGAATCAATAGTGAATTATCATGTTCTAGCTTTCATAACTCGGCCCACTCAACAATAGAGAAAGACAAGGTCATGAGAGAATAAATAGCAGGCGGACTAGCTAATGATCTATCATCCTGGACAAGCGGCTACACCGAGAGCGGGCTGCCTGACAAGATCATTAATAAAAGCTGCTGGGAGAGTGATCGATCGGCTTGATGGATGATCAGAGCCACAAATACTATAAAACACCTGGATGTCAAGCCCCGTCTCTTTGAAGAGAGGGTGGGGGGGGGGAATCCAGAGCCCAACAGGGAGTCGTCAGAGGGGATCAAACCCTGACGCCCCACCTCTGTACTGTGCTGCAAAATGACTTCAGCGCAGCAGACTCGTGTATGACTTTCTGAGCTTTATATGATGGAGTCAGGGTATTGCAGGCCACAGAAGCTCACTGTGAGAGAGCATCAGTGTAATATGAAGCAGATCAGGGAGTCAGCAGGTGTCGCGCTGTACAGACTGCTGCAGCGGTCCAACG